TTATGCGACTTCCAACAAGGTTGCGTTAAACGTTTAACGCTACATTTTTATTGGCCGGGAAATCACGTGGTAGGATCCAGTTTTCCCTCATTCATTTCCATATTGTTTTGGTTTTCACTAGCATAAAAATAATAAAAGTCATAAAAGTATTGTTTTTCTATATATATTTTAGTTTGATTTGATACACATATAATTTAATATTTTCAAACTTAGTGGATAACAATTGTAAAAAATGAGTGAAAACAATCCCACGGACAATGCGACGGATTTAAGGTATTGTCAAGGTACGACTCTTGTGAATATCAATTGATTGTTAGGTTTTCTCTTTTCTAATTGCCATTTATATTTCATCAAATGCAGCCATGAGGGATATTAAATTATTCATTGCAAAATCTTTATTGCCGCTATTCACTGCAGGTTCACAAGCTCTGGCAGACGTTACTGGTGAAGAAATTGATTATTGTGAGCGGCCTGTTTTCCTTGCAGGAGATTTTAAAGTGAATTTCTAATTACCTGAAGCTGAAACATTATTAACCTTCCTTAAAGACAAATTTGGATTGGAAATGATAAATGGTAGAAATGATCCAACAACCAAAGGGGGAACTACCATTGATGCAGTTTTTGCAAGAAATATTGAAAAAATAGAACTCAAACATTTCGTATCTTACTTTAGTTATCATAATCCCATTGTAAATGTTATAGATTTGGATATTTCTCCACTCGAAAATGATAATTAAAAGATGCGATCAATTGTGAATTGTCATTGTTAATAAAGTTTGTCTTAAAGAAACAATATGATTTCGCTAAAAATCAATTTCTACCCCTTCCTATTTTCATTTCCACATTACGAAGTTTAACTTCTTACGCGCGGACGGACTCCACGCACTATACTTTTTTATTTTATTATTAATTAACTATTAATTAATTATTAATTAATTTTAATTAATTATTACTTATTAATTAGTAATTATTAACTATTAATTATTAATCATTAATGGATTATTATTAATTATTGTTAATTATTATTAATATTGTTAATTCTTATTAATTATTAATTAATTAATTGATTTGCAATTACATACTCCAATTAATTTGGAAAATTTTTTGAAAAATGAAATTTAAAAAATTTCATTTAAAATTAACCTAACAGGTTTTTCTGAAAAACTACAGATATATAAAATTTTCGAAATCAATTTTGACAATAAATATGCAGTATATAGTACGTCAAAGTACCACAAAATTAATTGGAGTAGGAGATAATTACAATAACTAATAGTCTGCATTGAAGTAATAAAATACCGATTTTTCCATACATTGACTTATTTTTTTATTCCTCACAAGGCATACATCCCGCTAGTTTATTTCAAAATTGGCGAGTCACACTTACCTAGTTCCCCTTGTTAGTGGTAATTTTAGATTTCTGAAATGCTTAACTATTCACAGCTTCTTTAATTACCTTATTTCGCCGTAAGAAATATTATTGTAGCAGTAAAATGCAAATTGTATCAAAAGGGAAAGTTTGTGGTGTAGTACCATAAGAAAAATCTCGTGTAGAAATTTTCTTATGGACGAATAAAATAGTTTTCCGACGTAAGTATAAAACCATGAGGTTCGAAAATATTTCGAGGGGCAAAATTAACATTTTAAACAATAATTTTGTTTACGCGAGGTTTATTTTGTTAATACAGAATTATATCCTAACGGAAATTAGTTCAACCAAGATTGTTTACGTCTCGCAAAATCTTAAGGCACATTATTTTGTCTTAGAGCAAAGCTAAAATAGTTTGCATCAGGTATCTTGAAAATGACCCAGGATTTGAAAAATCAAGTTCAGAAAAATGGAAATAGATAGAAATGAACGGTTTCATGTGGCCTGCTTCAGAAACTAATTTCATTATCCCCAAATTCTAAGCTGCAGTTGAAGTTCGTAAAAAGATGGCGCTGCCTGCTGCTAAACAATAAAAACCTAAAAAAAACTATTTTTTCATAATTACCACCGTTTGCAGCTCAGATTAGAAATAAAATTAACGAACACCCGTGAAATATTTCTGTTCGAATAGTTTAACGTGAAGTATTGTTTTTTAATATTAAGTCAACTGCGCCATCTTTTGACAAACTTTATATCTATTTGTGAAACTTGTTCAGATAAACTCGTTTTATGAGAAGATTGTAGATTCATCTAATCGAAGATTTCTACATGATTTTGTTTTCCTTTAATTGGTTTTTCAAATCGACAATCATTTTTGGAACACATTGTAAAAACATATAAAAACACGGCTCTTTACTTAATTCAAGTGCAACCGTCCATTATATGATGGATAAATATTTGGCTAATATTAATAATTTAAAGTTAAAGTTTTAAAAAATCTTTTTCTTTTCAGGTAAAAGAGTCTGCCCTGGAGAAACGATGGCTTACATGGAACTTTTCCTGTATTTTGTGACCATTTTGCAAAAGTTTGACATTGTCTTTCCTGATGGTTTTAAACCAACTTTCGACTCTCATCCTGGACTTACGCTGCGACCAAATGATTATGAAATACGATTTTTGAGTAGAAATTAGTTCTACAAAAACATTATGATATGACACTAATCTACAAATAAGTGCAAACGTACAAAAGAGCGGGAAATGAAGTGCGGAAATTTAAAAAAAAAATTACATAATATAAAATTTTTTACTTCACAAGAACAAAAATTAGTGTTCGATATATGTGTATAGAAATTTTTTTTAGATAAAATCTAGTAGCATCTTGATATTAGTTTTTTGTATTAATATGAACTCACTGAAGGTTTTTGTTTTATTGATCTGCAACATTGCTGAATTATAAAGTCACAATATCACTGCCTTACTTTGATGCTAAAAATAAATTTTGTTGAAGTCTGAAATTTTTCTTGCATTTCATTTCAGAAAAAAAAAATCAACACACCCTCATATATTCACTCAATTCAATCTTAATTCTATTAAAATTAATTTATTAATAATTAATTGTATTAAATATTTATTAGTAATTAATTTTATTAATTTAATAATTAGTTTTATGAAATTGATGGGGAAAAAATTAGTTTACGACAGTGAATTTAAAAAAAAGTATTATTTTTCATAATATAAGTATAATCCACAGAGAAATATATTCCACTCTAATGCCAAAGCACGTAAAAAGGCGATGAATTTTTCTTCTTCCAAATCGCGGTAAAATGGTAACACTTTCCAACCAAATAGGTTCAGCGCCACTCTACGGGGGAAAAAAATTCTAGTTAGAGAGCTCTCGTGTTCGGGGATAGAGCTTTCGCCTCCCAATGAGGTGATTCACGTTCGATCCCAGCTTCGGCTGGTTAATTCGAATTTTATTCCCAGCTCGCACCGATCCCTGGTATAAACTATCCTCAGTGATAGACGGATCATAAATCAGAATCCCCTTTCCGTCATGCTAACCGTGGGAGGTTTTTGTGGTTTTCCTCTCCATATAACACAAATGCGGGTTAGTTCCATCACAAATTCCTCCACTAAGGCTAGTTTGTCCCAATGCTTGATCCAGGAGTTCCTTTGTCTTCTGGATTGGGTTCAAAATTACAAGGCTATAAAGTTGAATAATGATAGTCGTAAACTCAGAATTTTTCGGCAGTTCAACGCCAGTTATAAAATATAGCAATAAGATAATATAATAACAAGATAATACAGGGTGTTTATAAAGTCCCGGACCCATTTTGATGTTTAATAACTCATAAAATGATAAAGATAGATTAAAGTTAAAGTAAATTGACTATCGACTTGATATTCTCCGTGAGACGAAGGGACATGTGGAAGTTCATTGACAAGGGTCATGAAACTTTTTGAGTTCATCTAACCATTTATATAATTAATTTTAATCTATCTTTATTATTTTATGAGTTATTAAACATCAAAATGGGTCTGGGACTTTATAAACACCCTGTATGATAAAATGGAAAATAAAATCTTAGTTAGACGATGAATGTATCGTTTCCTTTTATTATTTTCCATTTAATTTATGAAATTGGGTACCTGCAAGTGACGTCATTCTAGGTAAATCATGGTATTTGTTAATTCAGCAGCCAATCAGGCTCGACACACGCGTGACGTCGCTTACAGGTATCCAATTAAATCTCGCTTACAGGTATCCAATTAAATCTGATCTAAATCACATGGTTAGGCATAATCATTTCACTTCTTTAGTTGCAAATATCCAGTGCGCTGTAAGCGTTTGGTTATTTGTTTTACTTCAGTGTTTAATAAAATGCTTGGATGTTAGTTCGTTAAGGATGTCACGTGTTAATCAAGAAAAAGTACATTTCTTAGCAACCTAAAATAAATTAGCATTTGGTTTAAATATTTTAATTTTATTCAACTTTTATTAATTTTAAATTTATTTCCACGTTGAAAAATACTCATTTACATATGTAGGAAAAAAATCATGTAAAATTACTGTACTGTATGGTAATGACACTTCGGGTAAAAAGCCCATAATTACGGTAATAACTATACGATATTTAAACCAGTCAGTCAGTAATTTTCCATTCATGTGGTAACGGTGTACACGAAATTCTCATTTTCAAAAGTGTAGTTCTTATTACCACACATTACCACAAAAAATACAAAGTTGAAAAATAAATTTAACCAAATAAATAGTTTCTATGATATGCTCTCAATTATCATGATAAAATTATAAAAGTTTATCAAATTTACAAAATTATTACATATTATTACAATTATTAAACCTAATAACACATTTTTTATCCAGATATTACCATCAATCTATGAAATACCTGTATTTTTAGAATGCCTAATCATGTTAAGGAATATCTGGCATTTTTAGGCACAGTATTAAATAAGTGAATTTTTATTCAATTAAAATTTCTCGCAAATGTAGAGTAAAAAAGCCCACAGGCAGTCACAAAATTTTTTGTTAATTTATGGTAAAATATCCTTTTTATAGAAATACTTTAAAAAAGTATTATATTAAGTTTAATTGTTGCATTATTTTGAATTTAGAAATTCAAAATTCATTAGAATATATTCATACTTTATTTTAACGTGTTATGGACTAAGCGGGGTAGGTGGAACCTATTCAATGTTTAGTTTTTAATGTAAACATTCAATACATTTTATACTATTTATTAATATGACAGGCCTGACAAGGTTACTCGATTACTTTTTCTCTCACACTTACCATAATTTTTGGCAAATATTGCCTTTTGCTCCATGGCAATACATTTTGAAAATTTTTGGAATATATCAATGTGAGGAAAAAGTAAGATTTTCTGGAACCATGGTAACTGATAGGAGAGAAGTGTGGAGAGTGGGGAAATCACGTAACCTTGTGACGACAATTCTATTTATAAAGAGCATTATCAGTCAGGGAAATAGATTCATCTGGTTCTATAATGTAACGAGTTCTGCTGGATCTGCTGTGAGAAAGAAAATCTCACTTATTCTTCTGATATGGAAAGCATGTTCTTCTGTCGCCGAATGAGAATCAGGCATGAGGCATACATTAACTCTCTGGCTATATGGTCAGTTTTTCTACGTCAAAAAATGAACAACAATCATGCGTTGTCTGTTGTTGGTGCACTCTGCTCAGGATTTTCTTCTTCCTCTGAAGAGCAAAGTTGGCAAAGAAGCATAGCGATGAACAATACAACTCCTATAACAAGGAGATACACAACAGAATAGTTACCTGAAATAAGGAAAACAAGCCTGGTGGGTACAGTATATAGATTATTTTTCTAAAATCTATTTATGATCTGTAATAGATTCCATAGTCTAGAAATAATATATGATAATTATAAATCTATAAATAATCTGTAATAGATTTTTTATAGATTTAGAATAGATTATTTTCTACAATCTATAAGAGATTCTATAATCTATAATTGATTCTACAAACAGATTATTTATAGATTTGCAATTGTAATATATTATTTATACGTTTACAATCGATAATTTTTATTCAACAATCAATAATAGATTCTACAATCTGTAATAGATTATTTATTTAAAATAGATTATTTTTCTACAATTTATAAAAGATTCTATATTCTATAATTAATTCTAAAAGCAGATTATTTATAGATTTACAAGAGACATTTATAGCTCCTCATTCTTTACAGTCTGAAATATATTATTTTTCTAAAATTTATGTAAAATCTATAATAGATCCTACAATCTATATAAGATCTATTATAGATTCTACAATTTATAACAAATTCTACAATCTATATTAGATCCATAATAGATTCTACAATCTAGAATAGATCATTTATAGATTTACAAGAAATATTTGTAACTCTTCTTTCTTTAAAGACAAAATAGTGACCACTTAAAAATGAAAATGGTAAAAAAATTACAATTTTCCTCATGTACTTCTTTTAGCTTTCTAATAAACTTGAGAAACATTTTTTAAACTCGATGGGACCTATTTTTATTTTGAACTGCTAAAAAAATTTCACAAAGTTTATTTAAGCAGTACATATAAAATAAATTTCATTTACGATTGGGGGAACATTTCTGGATTACTATGAGATATCACATGGACAATTAATCAAATGTAATTTCAAGAAAATTTAAGCAGTAATTGTTTTTGAAACCTGTAATTATATTTATATCCAAACAATAAATCATAATTCATTTGATATTTCGGTTATCTTATGAAATTATTTTAAAAAATGCCAGCAGAAAAAAAATTACAAATATTTCTTCTAATAACAATATATACTGAATACATTACGCAAAATTCAAAATAAAACGGACAAATTCTAGAACAAAGATTTATATTTCTCTAATAATCGTTCTCAACTTCTACAGTAGCTCCTTGTCAAAAATTACCATTCAGTGTATTTTATTCGCTTTCAGATACATTAAAACATACCTGTATATACATCAGATACGACAAAACTTCATGCATACATCAAAAACAAATTCAGAACTAGATCTGATGCCACTCCTGGCCCGTGAATTCAACAGTTAGATAATTTAGGGCTCAACAGCCGGGAAAAAATGGGAGCCGCTGATAGATAGATATTTATGTTTTAAAAATAATCATTTTATTATAATTGCTCTTATCGACTGTACTTTATTAAAATTAAAATTTGAAGCTAATTTTTTACTCTTTCATAGAGAAATTTTTTTCTTGAAAATGAAGTTATAAAATTATATTTCACCTACATTAAATCAATTAGATCGAGCGTAAATTTTGTTCTGGCACTTAACGAAATTTTATTTTCTCTTTATAATTAACGTATTTATAATTATCTGAGTCAAATTGGTCATAAATACCTGAGTCCTGATACCTTCCAATTATTTTGGTACCTTTAGAGATTCCAGATCTGAAAAAAATATAAATAAATAAATATTTCATATTTAAATTACTTTATCTTTAGAGAATCATATTATTATCTCTGAAAATAAAACATATTTCATAGAGCATAAAAGTCTTGAGGTTAATGGTATGTGTGTAAATGCCAGAAAGCATTTACACATTTCTGAATAAATGCTTTCATCCATCCCTTTAAATTGGTTCCAAAGATAATTATATGATTATTTTACTAGGGTGTTTTACTAGGTTGATTGTGTGACATTATTCAAAAATAGAAAAAATAATAAAATGAAAATACAAAATAAATAAATGAATAAAAAGGATTTTATTTAGCACATTTTTTAAACATCTATCAATATAGTACAGGACAATATGACTAGAATACAGTTTCTTCTAAAAAAAATTCTAAATGCGTTACTAATTCAATCGGAAATTTTTAATAATAATGATATAAAATATTTAAATATATTGTACGTTTTGTCAGAATCAAAAGATGCGGTATCTGGAGCGCATCACACGACACATTGTAGCTAGATCACTTAACTTCTATTGAAAGAAAGAGCCTGATGCCGGTGAATTGGGAGAAATTTTTGAGTATTAACGGAGAAAAGGAGTTTTAGTATAGAATGGTAGAAGTAATATTTAGTTATTCCATAAAATGTCCATTCCATAAAATGCATAAGTCAAAAGATATGAAGATAAACTGGTCATTAGATTACAAATCACTGGTCATTAGATTACAAATATTCTCGTCACTTAAATTCCACTAATCCAATAAAAACAAATGTAGTCGTTGTAGTTACTGCACGCCATTAATAGATATGAAAAATAAAAATTTGGAATCAGCTTTCATTTTTCAGGCATGAAAATGACGTATAGTCATTAAAATGACAAATATAGAGAGGACAAAGTCAGCACCCTTAGCATATACAATCTGTCTTTAATATAGCTTTGTGAAAATGAAGTTAGATATTCTCATTAAGAGTCCCAAATTTTATGAAGTAAGGAGGAAAAAAAAAGATGAAATCTCTTAGGAACTATAAACGTCGTAAATAAGAGCAAAAAATGGGGATAAAAGTGTGCACGGTATTTCTTTGCAAAAAAAATTGTCAAAATTGGATATCCAGAAACGACGTCATGTGTGGGTAAACCATTTGTTTATGCCATGATTCCGCAGCCAATCAGGTCCGACACCAGAGTGTGACACCACTTTCAGGTATCTAATTAAATCAGATCCGAAAATTGATTTGGTGTATCAAACTAAACCCAATAGCTGTAATGTTAACATGTCAAGCACAAGCTCAACCATGTAATTTTAGCTATCATCTTCTCATCGAGTTGCCGTTTCAGAATTGCAAATATTTGTTTGAAAAAAAAAAGGCAAAATTTGAAAAACAATGAAATTTTTTGTAGTTTTATAGCGAAATATATAAACTTATTTTTGTTACATAACAGTACATGTATTTCAGTTGAGTTCTGTAAAAAAATTTAATAAATTAAAACTTTTTTATTAATATAGAGTGTTCCGCGATTATTAGCTTTTAAATATATTTTAGAATCTTTATCAAAAAATATGACGAAAAAAATAGCATACATTAAGGGCTACTTATTAATCTAAGCGACGAAAAAAACATAAACTCTATTAAAATTTGATTGATCAATTAAGAAGAAGGCAAATATCTCAATAATCGAAACCTGTTTGACCGTAAAAAAAAAAAAAAAAAAAAAAAAAAAAAAAAAAAAAAAAAAAAAAAAAACAAGTTGAAAAATGATAATTCGTAATACCTTCAAGTATAAGACAGTGATTAAACAGGTTTTAATGTATTGTTTATCCACCTTCCTCAACATGAATTTTCTAAATTTCAACAGTTTTACCGTAATATCTTCGACATTTCGACATTCGTAATACCTTCGAGTATAATACGGTGATCAAACAGATTTTAATGTATTGTTTATCCACCTTCCTCAACATGAATTTTCTAAATTTCGACAGCTTTACCGTAATATCTTCGACATTTCGACATTCGTAATACCTTCGAGTATAAAACGGTGATCAAACAGATTTTAATGTATTGTTTATCCACCTTCCTCAACATGAAATTTCTAAATTTCGACAGCTTTACCGTAATATCTTCGACATTTCGACCTTCGTAACACCTTCGAGTATAAAACGGCGATCGAACAGATTTTAATGTATTGTTTATCCACCTTCCTCAACGTGAATTTTCTAAATTTCGACAGCTTTACCGTAATATCTTCGACATTTCGACGTTCGTAATACGTTCGAGTATGAAACGGTGATCAAGCAGGTTTTTTAGTGTATTATTTATCCACCTTCCTCAACATGAATTTTCTAAATTTCGACAGCTTTACCGTAATATCTTCGACATTTCGACATTCGTAATACGTTCGAGTATAAAACGGTGATCAAACAGATTTTAATGTATTATTTATCCACCTTCCTCAACATGAATTTTTTAAATTTCGACAGCTTTTTTGCTTTTTCTTTGCTTGAATATAAATTTGCAGGCTCTTATGTTTTTTTTCTTACTCTAAAAAGTATTCCAAAAGTATAAATTAAAGTTGATAAATAAAAATATAGATTAAAATCGGAATACCTTGCATAGATTTTATATAGCCTGTATTTAAGGGAAATATAGGCCTTCTGCTTTCTATTTAGTTTTCGAGTCACATTGATCTGAATACTATGGTTGGTCGGAAGTTGCGAATAAAACATGCATATAAAATTTGCTTTATCTATTACTCACATGATCTTCCCAAGTTTAGACCTTTTTTCTCGACTATTTCCTTTATCATATGGTTTACAGAAAACATCATTTGTTGTAGCAATTAAAAGAAAGCCTATAAAAAATTATTAACAAGGATTTATTTTAAAAATAAAATATACATTTTGAAAAAAAATGTGCTTATTAAAACTTTTTTTAGTAAACCTCGATATCAAAGGTAGTCTAAAGATATTCTTCTACTGAATGATTTTAAAGCATAATTAAGATCACACAAAATTTTAATTTTATATTAGGTAAGAAGAATTCATATTTTATGAGACTTCTTGGTAAGAATTTCATTTTATCTTTGGAAAAATAAAACATATTTTATAGAGCATAAAACTAATGATTCTTGAGGTAGATGGTATATGTGTGAATGCCAGAAAGCATTTACACAATTATGAATAAATTCCTTCATCCACCGCTTAAAACATGTTCCAAGGATAATTACTTGATTATTTTACCAGGCAATTTTACTAGGTTGATTGTGCTACGTAATTAAATTTTATATTAAGAAGGAATCTTGAATTATAAATTTAAAGTAAAATTTAAAATTGTTTAAAATATTTTTCAAAATAAAGGTAGTAAATAAAGTATATAACGAGCTTGAAAACTACAGATTTTTCACGTCACTCTAACAGCTCTATAACAAATTTGTAAAGCATAAATTTCAAAATAATATTTTTTTTTAGATCAATGACCTATGTTTTCAACTAAACTCTTAAAAATATTTAATAAAACAATGAAATAGAACTAAATACTATGTTTAATATTGAATTTTTAAATAAAAATTCTGCATATTTTTACTTAAAGCTTGATACAAATAACACATTCACACTAAACATTAGCTTTCAGTTCAAAACATCTCTAACATTAGACAAAATCTACTTATTAAGATTTTATAATAATTAAAATATTAAATTAAAAGTTTAATTGATTCTTTTTTTAAAAAAATGTTTGAAACCCGTCGGTTATCTTAATTATATTTCAAAATCATTCAGCAGAAGAATATCTTTTGACTATTTTTGATATCGAGGTTTACAGACAAGTTTTTAAAATTTCAAAAAAGAATTCCACAGTAAACTTTTTTTTTGTAATGTGTGTTAGCGTAAAGTCTCAAAATAAACAAAAATGCATTTAAGCATGCAAGAAAATTCTGACAACAAAGCAATTAATAATTCGAGAATTGATTTCTGGAAATGAATTTCATTTGTGTTAAAAACATAATTCATTCAAATAAATAAGTGCTAAGATAATGAAAGCAAAACAAAAATATTTTAGTTTCGTTTTACAGTTTACTTCGGTTTCGTTTGTCAGCATACAAAAACTACTGTAACTTCATTTCCGACAATCGGAGATCAAAATTTTAAAGACTTTTGCAAGGCAAATGAATTAAAGTTCAAATATGGGTAGTTTAAAAAAATGGAAATTTTCGTCGAATTCGATTTTCATTCAGTTGGATACCTTAGATATTTCAGAATCATACCTATAATATTTTTAACAAAACTAAGATAGCTAAAATTTAATGCATATTTAGTACTACAATAAACAAAAATAAGCCCGGTGGTGGTTTGAAGACCTAGGCTCAGATCGATGTGTTCTTTCTTGCCTGACTGAATTTAAATATTTCTCACTTCGCGATCATCATGTAATCTATTATAGTGTTTTAACCTCCATGACCACCAGGCCTGAAAATGGAGTGCTGCAAGAATGCTTAAAAATAGTGATAATAATTAGGTTTCTACTTGTAACAACGTTAACGGTTTTGTTCATAGTCATTTTATCAGCTGCTTATTTGTATTAAAAATAAAAAGGAGTCTGGTTTATAATTTTTATGCCTTCTAAATTTACACGTGTTTCATAATCACCGTCTTTAATTAATGTTTTTAAAAACGTTTCTTAAGAGAAAGGTAAAAAAATAGCTTCAATCGGGCACTCATCCCGCCTTCATCTATAATAATTAATCATATTTTGGTAGTGTTTTTATTTTTTCTTCTTTTAAATACTAATTAGCTATCCTTAACGAGCATATTTTTATCTCTTCTTTTTTTAAAATGGATTCTAAAGATATACTTTAAGTACAAAGATTTTGAGACATCCTGCATATTATAGACAACATAGCTTTAAGAATAAAAAGTAACTATAATTCAGTACAAATTTTTGTATTTTTTCCATTCCTAAATGAAAGTGCACTGCAGAAATGTTTGGGGTTTATTTGCCTTCTTTTTTGATGTTAAGGTAAAATAAATACATAGTTACTGTGCAAAAAAGTATCTGAAATAGAGAAAATAGCAATTGTTTGAAAGAATTAGGGAAAAAGCATATCTAAAAATTTGCTTCTTTTTCAAATGAAATGTGTTTGTTATAAAGCCATAAATTGATTCTAAAACTCATGAAATTATGTTTTATCAGTTAACAAAGAAACAAAAAATGAACAAATAAAACTCTAAAATTGAAAAAGTAAACTAAAAAAATGTGACTACTGGAAAGAAACTGGGTTCACCTCAACACCAACAACAAAAATGATGGCAACTAAACACCAAAATCTTTTACAGTGTCTAAACAAAATTACTCATTTTCAAAAGTAATGAAGCTAAAGTTGGTATTTTTTTACTTTTTTTTTATGACATTTAAATAAGTGACAAAAGTAATTGTTACTTATTTAAATGTCATAAAAAATAAAATTTGTCTATTCTCTGATTATCTGAAATGTAGCAATATATTTCTTGACAACCACACGACCGTATATTTTTATTTTTACTATAGCATTTATTACACTTAACTAAGTAACAAGCAACAAAAGTAAATCATTTAATCCATGGCCATCTGAAATGTAGCAATATATATCCCTCCAACGAAAAATCCGCATTTTTTTGTTGTTTTTACTTTATTACATTTAGTTAAGTAACAATCAAAGAAAGTAAATCATTTAACCCCTGACTATCTGAAATGTAGCAATATATTTCCTGACAACCACACGACAGTATTTTTTTACTTTTACTAAAACATTTATTACATTTAACTAAGTAACAAGCAACAAAAGTAAATCATTTAATCCATGGCCATCTGAAATGTAGCAATATATATCCCTCCATCGAAAAATCCGCATTTTTGTTTTTACTTTATTACATTTAGTTAAGTAACAATCAAAGAAATTAAATCATCTAATCCCTGACTATCTGAAATGTAACAATATATTTCCTGACAACCACACGACCGTATATTTTTACTTCTACTAAAACATTTATTACATTTAACTAAGTAACAAGCAACAAAAGTATATCATTTAATCCATGGCCATCTGAAATGTAGCAATATATATCCCTCCAACGAAAAATCCGCATTTTTTTTTGTTTTTACTTTATTACATTTAGTTAAGTAACAATCAAAGAAATTAAATCATCTAATCCCTGACTATCTGAAATGTAGCAATATATTTCCTGACAACCACACGACCGTATATTTTTATTTTTACTAAAACATTTATTACATTTAACTAAGTAACAAGCAACAAAAGTAAATCATTTAATCCATGGCCATCTGAAATGTAGCAATATATATCCCTCCAACGAAAAATCCGCATTTTTTTTGTTTTTACTTTATTACATTTAGTTAAGTAACAATCAAAGAAATTAGATCATCTAATCCCTGACTATCTGAAGTGTAGCAATATATTTCCTGACAACCACACGACAGTATTTTTTTACTTTTACTAAAACATTTATTACATTTAACTAAGTAACAAGTAATGAAAGTAATCTATTTAATCCCTTACTATCTTTAGCAATATGTTTCCGGACGACAAAACTACGCGATACTTCTTTGCATGTTACAACATAAAATTCTGTTATTTTCGTTCAGAGAATATTATCTCAAGTGTTGTTACATTATAAAGAGAAAAGCAAACTCTCTTTCCTTGAAGCGAGTCAACCAATTCAGACTTGAAAAAAGATACGCTTTTAAGTAGGTTAGTATAAATCTATAAATAACGTAATGCGTTTTTTTTCTGAGGTGTTGAAGTCAGTTTTGAAAGGGTGATCATGGAGTATCACATCATGTTGGCATTGAACTTGGCGTCACTTGAAAACTTTTTTAATTGATACTTTGTACTTTGCTTTCGTCCCATTAAGTTAGATTGATTTATGCATGCGCAAATGCTGTCCGCCGACTCTTAATCATGGCCCACGAAGGATTAAAATGAATTTTATTTTAAATTTTATGCATTTTTTAAAATTTTATTATGTATTAAATTTTTCCATTTCTATCGTATCATTTAAAAGATACTCGTAATATTTTATTTGCTGAAAAATAGTACTTTTATTACATAAAAGCACTTTTAACTATTGAACTGTTTGCTTTCTCGACAGGTGTATAGTCTCTTTCATTTTAGCGTGAAAAAGTACGTTGGAAAAAACTTCTCTCTCGCACAAATATTAATATCAGATGTGTAAATAAGTACAAGTACAAACTTCCATTTTTTTTGTACATAAGACCTTTAAAAGAATTAGTCTGATAGTATCGGGATTGGTCACATTTTAGTCAGTGTGATAAATACATCGGAAAAAATTTCTCCCTTTCCCGTCTAGAAGAAATTCAATTCCTTCCCTTATATTATCCAGGTGAGGAGAGTGCTCCAAAGTTTGGACCTTCTAATGTTAATTTTGCTTTTTGCGTATTTCGCTATATCTCGAGAACTTTTTAAGTGATAAAATAAATCCTGAGAAATTGAATTTCAAAAGAGTGAGATATTTAAAATTCGATTTCTCAGGAACTATTCGACCTATTTTCCTCAAATTTTGTATTTCGCCATGTGAAATTACATGTCTTAAATGATGCAATAAATTACACACCTAATAATTAAAAAATTTTTCGACCATTATTAAATAAATAATGAAAAATAATAAAGATTTAATAAAGGTTATTTTTTGAACGGAATTATCTTTGGATAAACAAATTTAATAACTGTGGGCAAGAATTTTTCAATTTGCTTAAAAAGTTCTCGAGATATGGTGAAATGCACGAAAAGTAAAATTTACATTAAGGGGTCCAAACGTTAGAGCGCTTTCCTGACCAAAC